CGGCTCCACCGCCTGCCGCCCGCCGCCCGCCTCCCGCCGGGGGCTCTCCTGCCTCGCCATGCCGCCGTGGGACGCCGCCCTCGTCCTGCTCCTGGCCGCGCTCGCCCTGCTTGGCCTGCTCGTTCCGCGGCTGCGGCGCCCCAGGAGGCGCGCCGTCGGAGCGAGGACCCTGCCGGGGGCCCGGGGCCAGGACGATGAGGACGAGGTGGACGGCAGAGGCCCCGCGGACCAGTTCAGCGACGGGCGTGAGCCGCTGCCCGGCGGGTGCAGGCTCATCTGTAAGCCGTCGGCGCTGGCCCAGTGCCTGCTGCGCGCCTTGCGACGCTCGGCAGCGCTGGAGCCGGGCCCGCGCTCCTGGCTTTCCGGGCCCCACCTGCAGACCCTCTGCCACTTCGTGCTGCCCGTGGGGCCGGGGCCTGAGCTGGCCCGGGAGTACCTGCAGTTGGCGGACGACGGGCTGGTGGCCCTGGACTGGGTGGTGGGACCTTGCGCCCGGGGCCGCCGGGTGACAAACGCCGGGGGCCTTCCGGCGGTGCTGCTGGTGATCCCCAATGCGTGGGGGCGCCTCACCCGCAACGTGCTCGGCCTCTGCCTGCTCGCCCTGGAGCGCGGGTACTACCCGGTCATCTTCCACCGCCGCGGCCACCACGGCTGCCCGCTGGTCAGCCCTCGGCTGCAGCCTTTCGGGGACCCGTCCGACCTCAAGGAGGCGGTCACTTACATCCGCTTCCGACACCCAGCGGCCCCGCTCTTCGCGGTGAGCGAGGGCTCGGGCTCAGCGCTGCTGCTGTCCTACCTCGGCGAGTGCGGCTCCTCCAGCTACGTGACGGGTGCCGCCTGCATCTCGCCGGTGCTGCGCTGCCGCGAGTGGTTTGAGGCCGGCCTGCCCTGGCCCTACGAGCGGGGCTTTCTGCTCCACCAGAAGATCGCCGTTAGCAGGTGGGTAACGGTGGCCGCAGGCGGGCAAGCGGGGAAGAGAGGTCTTGGGCTCACCGAGAAACAGCTCTGCCTGGGATTGAATCAAACAGGTTTAGGGCAATTGGGGCAAAGTTCAAATATACTTTCTGAAGCTGTCCAAACCCTCTAGTCTAGACAGAACCAGGAAAGCAGGTTTAAAAGCCATAGACAGACTCAGTCAGCATCCTTATGCTGGAGCAGGGACTCCTGCCCTGGGGCCCCCTGGCCTCCCCTCAGCCCCGCCGTTTCCTAGCAACCTGAGCACCTGCCCCACTCATAGCAGAGGCAGCGCCTGACTTTTACCACTTAGTCCGTAGCTTGTCAAATCAGCAAAGAGGGCTCTGGAAGCAAATGCAACTGATTGTCCAGAATGTTTCCGTAGAGTCTCTGTGCCAAGGTGACAGGAATTAGAAATTTGATGGTATTTGATTTATTAAAATGCTTTAGACTTGACAAATGTTCCGCATATTCCTAGGTATGTATTCTGTATTCAACATTTAATACAAACATTTAAACATAATTAAAAAAAAAAATCTCCGAAAAGAGAAGAATCCACCACCAGGGTGACAGGTGAGACTTTTCCACTAAGCCCTGAGCAACAGTCCCACAGCAAATAACTGGGCCTCAGCTTGCACTGTTGCTCTGCTAGGAGAGGGCAGAATGAGGTCAAAGACATTATGGCAACAGTGTGGTGTGGCAGGAAGACCTGAGATGTAAGGTCAGACCCACTTGGATTCAAATCCTAATTTCCAGCATGTTACCTAACCCCTTTGAGCCTCACTTCCCTCTTCAGTTAAATGGAGCTGATAATGACCACCTCCCAGGGTGATTAGAAGCATGAAATGAGATAACGAAAGTGAGGGGCCTGGCACTGGGTAGGTGCTCAAAAAATGGTAGCAATTGTGATTTTCTTTCCTTTCCCCATTTTGCCTCCTGTTCTGAGAAGGTCAAACCCTGAGCTCAACAACAGCCCCAAGTGCTGCCATGGCAACCAGATCCACCTGAGCAGTTCAGGGGCAAGGTGCTCTCACATGGCTTAATTACCAGTTTTCATCCACAAATGACCGCCACCAGCGCTGACCCTGGGCACCAGCTGGAGGATGTAGGGGAGGAAGATAATGCCTCTACCCTGTGGGTCCTTCTGGCTGGTCTAAGAATTAAATTGACATGAGGCAGAATAACAGGAGAAAGTCAAACAAAGTTTAATAACATGTCTACATGGGAGAAACCCAGGAAAACTGAATAAATCACCACAATGGAGGAAGCTACCACCTTAAAAACCATCTTCAGCTAAGGACGAAGGAGGATGGCTAAGGACCAAGGAGGATGTTGGGGCTGGTGGTTTGGGACTTCAAAGGGGAGGAAGGCAATTTACATGGAGATGGAAAAGCAAATGTTTGATAAACAAATGTTTGCTAGGCCATCTATAGACAATGTGATGAGAGGGGGGAGAGGGAGAGGGAGAGGGCGAGGGAGAGGGAGAGGGAGAAAATGAAGATAAAAATGGGCTTAGCAAGGAACCTCCCTGTCTACCATACGCAGAGTTATCTATGGTGATGGCCTGTCCTGGGACAGGCCTTTTATCTTAAATTCTTTTAGGCAGTTAGGGGGAAGGTCAAAGTTTCTTTCAGAGTCTTTTGTCCTTGAAAATAATCAAGTGGAAGAGACACATTTTGGGGTGGCAAATTCTGATCCCCCACAAGGATAAGATATAGAAAGTGGAGAGGAAACCTGGGCCTTTAGGAACTGCCTTGCCCATGGAAGTTTAGGACTGAAAACTTGGGGCAAGCCTCTTTGAATATTTGCAGGAGACACACATCCAAATTCAAGTGGCTAAAGCTAGGTTGATCCACCCAAAGGAGCTGCCCACCCTGGCCTCCTTGTCAGGGAGCCAGGCCTCTCCAGGGAGGTGGAAACAGCAAAGATGTCCCTCTTCCCCAGAGCAGTTGCTCTCAGGCTGCTCCCATTTGGAACTCACTGCGTAAATTAATTACACTCCCAGTCACTTCCTCTGCCCCCAGCCCACCCAGGAATACCTGCCTCACTGATCAAGGTCACACTCATTTGTCATCATCTGGACAGCATGTTAGCTTTTAAAAAACAAACTAACTAATACAATGTAAAGTAAAATGTTAATGATGGAGGGGTGTGACCTGCTGGTTTGGATAGTCTGAGCCAGTGAGTTCTTCTAGGAGAGGTTCAGGAGGTGACAGTTAATAGCAAATTCCCTACAGAGGGTCAGAAGTTGAGGTCAGAAGAGCTGTTGCTGTGGCTCAGTGGCTGTAAAGTCAAATGCTACCCCAGGGGTGGGCAGGTAATGCCCTGAGTGACAGGCCTGGCAGGAACTGCAACACAGGAAGGAGGAAATGCTGCCTGAAGGATGCCAACCCATGTTGCCAGAACTTCCCATTTCCCTAGAGAAGCCAGATAGCTGCATTTTACATGAAATTTCCTGATTTTAAATGATGATAATGAAATGGAAGTTTTAAAAAATCCTATATGGCCAAAGAAAGCTTCCATGGCCAGAATCTGACCTGTGGGTTGCCACTCTGTAACATATGCTTGCTGTCAATTTGGTGTCAAATTCTTCCCTCTTTCCTACTTCCCCATTCCGCTTCTTGCTGTCAGGTACACCACGGCCCTGGAGGACACAGTGGACACCCGCAAACTGTTCAGGAGCCGCTCCCTGCGAGAGTTTGAGGAGACCCTCTTCTGCCACACCAAGAGTTTTCCCATCACCTGGGACACCTATTGGGACCACAACGACCCCCTCCGGGATGTAGATGAAGCCGCCGTGCCTGTGCTGTGTATCTGTAGTGCTGATGACCCCGTGTGTGGGCCCCCAGACCACTTCCTGCCGACTGAACTCTTTCACAGCAACCCCTACTTCTTCCTCCTGCTCAGTCGCCACGGAGGCCACTGTGGCTTCCTGCGCCAAGAGCCCTTGCCAGCCTGGAGCCATGAGGTCATCTTGGAGTACTTCCGGGCCTTGACTGAGTTCTTCCGAACGGAAGAGAGGATGAAAGGGCTGAGCAGGCGCCGAGCTTCGTTCCTAGGGGGCCGGCGACGCTGGGGAACCCTGCAGAAGCGGGAGATCTCTCCCTCTTCCAATCTGGAGGAGATCTTTAGCTGGAAGCGATCGTATACAAGGTGAGACCTGGCCTGGGAACCCCTCAGTTCTGGAAGGAAGAACAGAGCTGGGCATGGGAGAGTCCTGAAAGGCGATGAGGGCCGAATGGGGCAAGCAGCTCCAGCTCTTTGCCACTGATGCAGCCCATTCTCTCTTAAACTGGTCTGTGGAAAGACATGGAACTTCCAGCAAGCTGGCGCTGACTTTACCCTGAGCAGAACTCCTGCTCAGACTCTGCTCAACACATTCCTGCTCATCCTGGTCAGCAGCTGGACATTCCCGGTCACTGTCTCCTGTCACCAACTGCATAAGCCAAAGAATAGCACCATTTAAGCCCATGGAGGGCCGGCCCCGTGGCTTAGCGGTTAAGTGCGCGCGCTCTGCTACTGGCGGCCCAGGTTCGGATCCCGGGCGTGCACCGAGGCACCGCTTCTCCGGCCATGCTGAGGCCGCGTCCCACATACAGCAACTAGAAGGATGTGCAACTATGACATACAACTATCTACTGGGGCTTTGGGGAAAAAAAAGGAGGAGGATTGGCAATAGATGTTAGCTCAGGGCTGATCTTCCTCAAAAAAAAAAATAAATAAATAAGCCCATGGACTCAGGAGAAAATGCTCTTTCACTAGCAATAACTACAGAGAAGATGAGTTTATGTGTGTCACTGGGCAGCTCTGTCCCACATAAATCATCAGCTCTGTGACCCTGATTCTCAAGCTGGAGCCATTGATGTAGTAGAGCCTCGATGTAGTGAGGACAGGATGTTTGTGTCTCAGTCCCACTTCCCTCATTTTGTTCTGTGGTTGTGGTGCTTTGCTGACTTAACGCGGCCACAGCCGTGGAAGCGGGCTCACAGAGCTGTGTCAGTCTTGCGTGAGTGTGAGGAAGGTGGCAGAGGCAGTAAGTGCTGTGCTGAAACTGGGTTGGTGAGGGCGACAAGGTAGAGAGTGTGAATGCCTGTGTCTGGAGTACTGAGGTCCGGTCTTTCAGACAAGTTCTCCAAGTTGGGAATGGGGCTGATCTGGGGCTTCAGCCTAGGACCTCAAGCCTCACTGGAGAGATCCCAAGGATGATTTTAGGAATGCGAAGTCCTCACACACAGGGTCTGCTGGACCATGGCTCAAGGAGCCAGATTCTCAGGCAGTCTAGCTGTTCCCTCTGGTACCATTTTGGGGGATTACTCCAGAGACCCCTAGCCAGAGCCCTGTTCTCCTGAAATGGGGGCTTTCTGTAAGTGGTGAAAAGTATAAACCTCATATCTTAGGTGTTTTCTAGTTAGTTGCCCTCTTTTCTGACACTACTGCTAGTCCCTCCCTCTCCAGAGCCTGGAGAGACATCTGGGACCAGAGAAAACAAAAGTTCCAAGATGTTGGCTAGAGCTGACTCAGTGATTTATGAATATTTCACATTACTATGCTTTTTCTGCTAAATTATTCAAAAAGCCGTCTTTGTAGATGCAGAAAAAGCTTCTTCCTGGATCTGACCACTCAGTGACTGAGAAGATGTTTGGTTTTATGACGAATAATGCTGAAGACCAGAGTAAAATAAGGCATTGTACCAATTGATCCACATATCCTGTTTTGGATTAGGCCATTAAACAATATAATAGGACATCCGGTTCCGTGTGCTGCTAAGAACTTTGCCCCAAAGTGTTATTTTAATTTGTCATTGAGGGCCGGCCCCATGGCTTAGCGGTTAAGTGTACGCGCTCCGCTGCTGGCGACCCGGGTTCGGATCCCGGGCGTGCACTGACGCACTGCTTGTCTGGCCATGCGAGGCCGCGTCCCACGTACAGCAACTAGAAGGATGTGCAGCTATGACATACAACTATCTACTGGGGCTTTGGGGGAAAAAATAAAATAAATAAAAATTAATTTGTCATTGAGAAAGAGGGCACGTGCATTGACAGGAAGCTCCATCCTGGCCTTACAAACAGCAAAGCACTTTTAAAGAGGAGAGATGTTTACCAAAAGCCATGTCCTAAGGCTTGGTATGAGGAATTCCTGGGGCCGTGATTTCAAGTTTGGATAATCTTAGCCCAGCTTCATTCTTCTAGATGAAACAAGAAGTCTGAACTATCCAAGAATCTAAATTGAAATGTAGATAACACTCGATTGTCTAAGGCACATTATCCTGTCATGAAAAATTACCTCTCTCCTTCCCCACTCTTGCTCCTTCTCCTCCACATTCCTCATCTAACATCCTTTCACCATTTCTGAGCAAGAGAAATAACAAGGAACTGAAATCTAAAGAAGTCATTCTACTGCTGGTTAACAGTCTCACTGTAAGGCTTGGTGCAGGAGAATTACTGACCTCTGGCCACCCCCCTCCCCCAGGATCTGGTACAGTGGGGATTTCAGTTAATTAGGGTCCTGCAGGCCCATATGCAGGACCCTAGGATCATTCAGAACTGACTGCAAAATGGGAAAGAGTGGTTTTTAAATCCTTCTGGCTCACAGGCCCCTAAGGGCTAAAATCTGGATTGTTTCTCTAGGCCAGATACCATGGGACTCTGGTTCTTTAAGATAATAGCTTTTGGAGAAATCATGGTTGGTTTTCCTTTCCTTTTTTTAATAGGAAAGAACGCTTGTGGCGGAAGTGGGGTAGGGTGAAAATATATATACGTGTATATATATATATACACACACATATATATGTATATATATTTTTTCAGTTATAATCTTAACGCCCTCAGAATGGCAGAACAACCCTAGTCCAGGCTCCTTTAATTATCTTGGACCCACAGCCTTAACGACCTAAACTCTAAAGTATTTTCCCTCCATGCGCCTTGAGCGAAATGTGCTCATTGCCTATCTCAGAAAGCTACTTCTCTCTCATCTTCCCATCACTGTTTGACGGCATCACTGCTTTTCAGCCCATTTTTGCCAAGAAAGTGCAGTTCCTGTTCAAAAAGGTTTGGGTGACCCTGTCCTTCTGTCTAACGATGAAGGAATTACCCATATTGACTCTGCTTTGGTTAATAGCTAATTATGTGAAACCAGCTGGAGGAACCCTGGGCACTCTATTCTGAGAGACTGTGTGGCCCTAGAACAAAATCACAAGTTATGAGTTTGAGGAAGTACGAAACAAACAGCACGGGCCGGCCCCGTGGCTTGGCGGTTAAGTGCGCGCTCTCTGCTGCTGGTGGCCCGGGTTCGGATCCTGGGCGCGCACCGACGCGCCGCTTCTCCGGCCATGCTGAGGCCGCGTCCCACATACAGCAACTAGAAGGATGTGCAACTATGACGTACAACTATCTACTGGGGCTTCGGGGGGAAAAAATAAAAATAAATAAAAAAATCTTAAAAAAAAAGAAAGAAACAGCAAAACAAACAAAACCCAAAGAAGTACCACTGAGTTGGAGTTTTCCAGGTAGCGAGTCTTTAGGGATCCTCTTAGGCCTCGTTCACTTGCTTGCCTCCCTTTTGGTCTCTTCATTATTTATCAACACCCTCAAATAGTGAGGGGAAAAAAAGCCTAATGACTTAAAGGAGGCATTATGTCAGAAGTAGAGACTGAGTTTCCTGACTCCAGCTATTGATCAGAATGCAGGAAGCAGACAACTGCCTCTGATGGTTTCTTTGAGTTCTGCTAAGTTCTGACCTCTGATACTGAATATTGTCCTAGGCTTAAAGATTTAGCACTTCATGTATTTATACATAGGTTTCCAGGGTTCCTTGGCTGGAGACCACAGTATGAAAAGACAGCACCAAATCCTCACTTTGAGAATTGTCATCTGTTTTGAGTGAAGATATCCTTTCTAAGACTTGAGTACTGTTAGAAAAGAGCTCTTGACAGGAAGTGTCATCTTGGCTTTATATAGAACCTCAAAACCACCCCAGAGTCAAAAGCTCCTCTGTATCTTCCATCCAGACCACAAGATCCTTTGTCAGTCACCCTTAGTAATGCCAAGGTATCTTCCGTTAGAAGTAAACTTTAGCATGCACCCCTCTCCCTGCTTAAACAAGCAGATACACTTGCCTGCTTTAGTAGAACTTGGTAACAACGCCAATAAGGAGTATTTGTGATTCTATGGCCAAGCCACGAAGGATGGCAACAGAAACTGTTTTCACTAGTTAGTTATCACAATTTCCAGAGACAAGATTGAGAAGTTATACCTCGGGAGTATCCGAGTGCCTGGAAATAGAATGAGTGCCTCAGGAAGCAGTAAGTCCCACATCATCGGTGGGATATACAGGCTAGACTGCCACTTGGCACACATCATAGGGGAGACATGTGCCGAGAAATAAGAGTGGCCTAGATTTCATATAAAGTCTCTTCTCATCTGAGAGTCGGTGAATTGAAATAAAGCTATTGAGCTCAATGTGTTGTAAAGACTTCTGGTTGGTCTATGGGATTGAGGATCAGGAGATCACAGACCTGATCTAGATTCTGGGAGTTGGGAAGTGACATAAAGATTTTAATGAACATAATCCTGCTAAAGTGACCAGAGGATGTTTTTATTTTTTATTTTTTAATTTTTTTAAAAGATTTTATTTATTTTATTTTTCCCCCCCAAAGCCACAGTAGTTAGTTGTATGTCATAGCTGCACATCCTTCTAGTTGCTGTGTGTGGGACACGGCCTCAGCATGGCCGGAGAAGCAGTGCATCGGTGCGCGCCCGGGCTCCGAACCCGGGCCGTCAGCAGCAGAGCGTGCGCACTTAACCACCAAGCCACGGGGCCAGCCCAGAGGATGTTTTTAAAATATCCAATAATTATGCTCTAGTCTAAAGGATCCAGCAAGAGCTAAAAGTTTGAAGGAAAAGTGGAATTTTATTAAAGCAAACAGTAAAAGACACTAACACATCAAGAATAAATGTCTATAGCCCCTCCAGCCTTCATGTGTAATAAGGTAATACCTTGCTCTAGTGTTTATCACTAGTGTGGTTGAACAAAATTTCTCTCAACTTGTTTGCCTCTGAATAGTAAATAAATTGCAGTCTTCCTGCAACAAGAGAATGTCATTGTTTTTTTAAATCTCCAGAAACCAATGTGCTGTTTTTCTGAAGTCCTCTGTGTACTGAGCCATGCTTACCTACCTGCTGAGCTAACAGAGCCTCCCTGCACATTCTCTGTTCACCAGTTGTTGCTTCACTTCTAGCCTGTGTCCCCTAACACTAACCAGTGGCAGCTCTGTTTAATCAACAACCAGGCCTCCTGTTCTGGGCTAATAATTTCCCAGCAGACACAAAATTCCCTGATCATCAATGGTACCTACATAGAGATATTTTCCAGTGGGCAATTAGTAATTTGTGTATTGGATAGAGTACTGAAGAAGTAGTTTAGAGATGTGGGTTCTAGTTCCTACTTCATCTGTGACTCCTCTGACACTGGGAGTTATTTTATGAGTTGTTCCATATGAAAAGACTAAGACTGTGAATAGACTTTAATTTAGTTCTGTTAGGATATAAAGAGATGGTAAAAGCAGGTAGATCCCACTCTCTGAGTCTGGAGCGCAGACCTCTAAGGAGGTGGCATCTGCTTTCAGATCAAAATCTGTTCTTCAGTTCTTACAAGGCCAAGAAGTTCCAGTTATTAATTCCACTGCAAAGCTGGGAAAAGCTTGGAAGAGCAGCACCTTTGAGGCTCGCAGGCTGGGTCCTGGGTTGCCCAACTGAAGGCAAACTCGCCCTGCTTCTCTCCCAAACATACACACACACTCACTCACTCTGATTAATATGTTAGGGCTAATAGGTTTCACATTGGTTCATTTGTTCTGGCCAAAAGGCATTTTTCCTGTTTCTTACAGATGAAGGTCAGAGAGGATGTAACATTTAAAATCTCACAATTAATTGTGGTGGGGCTAAAGACCAGAACTCAAACCAGTGCTCTTTATGCCATTACTTTGTCTTTTCATAGTCAATCATGGGCTGAGATGACGGTAACTAATGCTCACTTTAGACTCCTTCATATAAAGGGTATTAACAAAAAGGAAAAGAATTTGTCTTCAGAGCTGCTGTAGTGCACAACTCAGTGGGGGAGCCATACACATTAATCTATAAATGGCACCCCTGAAGTTGTTTATTGCATAGCCTGCGTAGCCTTAACACCCTCAGCAGCCTTGTCTCCCTGTATTCATTAAGAACAAGTATCTGAAAATATGGTAGCAATTAAAGTCACTAATTGCCCACAACACATAGGAAAACCCTGGTTCTGCAGCTGGCATCACTGAGATGTAGGTGATAGCACGAACATAACCACTGTGGCGGTGGAGCTAGCTGACCACTGTGGTAAATTTTTATTTATGCTCAAATTTCTGTCACAGGTAGGATAGGCTTTAAACCCTACGCATAACTCAGTGTCTCTGATATGTTTAGCCAATAACAACATTTGTTTTGGGCTGCTGACATGGGCTACAGGCTAGAAGCACGTGTTTTATAATACTCTCATTCCAACGTAGTTTGAAGAGCTCAATTGTGGGGATAAAGCAGAAAGAAGTCTTGTTTTTTAAACTCTTTGAGTTCCTCCAAATTCAAGGTGGGATGCTGGAAATGCTGTCAATCGGAGACCTGGAATCTAATCTTGGCTCTGCCACATAGCTGTTTGACCCACACAAATTAAACACTATATAAATGTTAGTTAATCTCAAAATAGCTCAATATCAACATTCTAGGAGTTAAAAAGCTATGTTAAAAAGTTAAAAGTGCCATTCTCCTGACAGTCTTCTATTCAATAAAGTAGGTAATCTCAATTATACTTTTAAAAATGACACTTAAAACAATTTTCTAATAAAAAGCATAAAAACCCCAGCCCATGAAACCCCCTCCTCCAAAGTTAGCCTTCTGACAAAAAAAAAAGTCACTTTAGCGGTGTTTTAAACAACAGAATTGGATTAGATATTCTGCCCCATGTAGGGCTAAAATGTGATGATTTTTAAATCTGGGAAGATAAGCCCAGATGAAACCACTCTTTGAAGCTTTGTACAGGTCCAAGAACTGCATACATTTATCTGTCCGTGTATGTGGGAGGAACTGTAGTTATACAGACCACAACACAGGTCCATGTGAAACTTAAGAACCTGTATCAAACTGTTAGAACCTAAAGAATCATCTCACACCCACAACACAACGGACCACTTCACTCTTTGGGCAAACAGGATTTGCGGCAATCAGACTAGAGGGTTTATGTGTATATCAGGGAGGTTACTCTTAGCCATATCTTACTCATTTTTGTAACCCCCAACATCCAGCACAGTGAGATTCAGTAGTAATTATCCTATAGATAGTCACTGAATTGAAATATACTTTATGGGAATAAAACCACTTAAAAAAATTGAGCAGACACTCTGTGTACTAAAATTACTTTATTACAGTTGATTTTTTTAAACATTTCCTTTGCTATGATACAAAGGATACTTACAAACAAAATATTACATATGACCTTGTTTTCGCTCTTATGTTCTGACAACTTGGTAACAGCTTTAAATGCACAATCTATACAATTAATACAGGTTATATATGAACTATAAGGTATGTTGAACCAGAAGAATACTGACAATATACTGTACAATAAGCCTTACCAGTTAGTGCTGCGGACCATTTCTACCAAAAGGAAAATGCACATCTGTACAGTCACCTTTACCAGCTGGTGCTGACAGTGAGGGAGAGGCTTCTTCCCCCTTGCAACCCTTGATAAGCCTCCACTGTGGGCATCTGTTTGGTCCGAAAATTGAGAGGACTGTGACTGTGTATATTTAAACTTAGTCATCGGTAAAGTGGTAGAACGTTACTGTGCACATGATAATCTCTCACCAAAAAATCAGTCCTAGTTTTAAAAGACCACAAGTCCTTCGTCCACTACGAAAACCCTACAGGCTCAAGGGCTTTGGGAGATGAGAAGATGAAGGCTGCCGAAAAGGAGGCAAGAAACCAAGCCAAAATCTAGGTCTTGCAAAATTGTCATTTTTCCCTTCACCAAAGGGAACTAGAAATGTACAAATTCATTGATGAACCTCAATGATAACTATCAGTTAGCTGATAACCCTCATTTTATCTGGACCCCTGACTTGTGGGAATAACAGAAAGAGATTGTGAACAATATATACCACTTTTAGAAAAGAACCTCTTGCTTAGTTAAAATATTCCCTTTAGCCACCAAAGCTGGT